GACACACACACACACACACACACACACACATTTATTATCAACACAGTCGACAAAGAAAATGTTGGATTGATGATTAATTTTTTTTTACGACAAACTCTAAGAGCTGAAGGAATTTTTACTGAACAATTCAAATTAAATCAAGCACAACACAAGCTAAAATTAGCTAAACTAGCTAAAAGCTAATAGCTAAAAGTTAAAATTTCCTAAACTAGCTATAAGCTCAAACTAGCTAAAGCAGCTAAAAGTTAAAATATACTAAACTAGCTAAAAGCTAAAATGAGCTAAACTAACTAAAAGCTCAATTTGACTAAACTAGCTAAAAGCTCAAATTAGCTAACCAAGCTCAAAGCTCACATTAGCTAAACAAATTAAAATCTCAAATTAACTAAACTAGCTAAAAGCTAAAATTAGCTAAACTAGCTAAAAGCTAAAATTAGCTAAATTGGCTCAAAGGTCAAATTAGCTGAACCACAGTTAAAGGAAAAATTTGCAATATCATAGCTACAAATTATAATTTACAAAACTGTTGCTGTAAGCTAAAATCATCAAAATTGTAGCTAAAATTGAGAACAATGGGTTAAAGCTACAATCAAAGCAAAAGAAGAAGCAAAGCTTTGGCTAAAAGATGAAATTAGCACTACAGTAGCAAAAAAAATTAAAAAATCAGCAAAACTAGAGCTAAAAGTTACAAATAGCATGATTTGTGGCTAAAACCTAAAGTTAACAAAACATTTCTCAAAGGTAACATTAGAAACACTAGCTAAAAGCTAGAATTAGCTAAACTAAAAACATATATTGGTGAAAACCATAGCTAAAGGTAAAATTAAAAACTTTAGCTAAAAGCTAAAATTATTAAACCCATAGCTAAAGGCTAGCATGATCAAAATTCTAGCTAACAAATGAAATTAACAAAAGGGTAGCTAAAACCTAAAATACACATGAAAAAGGAGCTAAAAGCCAGAAGGAGCAAAATAAAAGTAGATTTGACAGAGAAACATTTTTGGAAGGAGCTGAAGACTCGTAGGTTTCTGAGGGTCGTTCTTCTAAAAGCCACAAAAGCAAAAAGTCGTTTTTGTTAACGAGACGTTTTGATCATCGAAGGGTTAAAATAAACAGTTTGCAGCTGTTTGTAAAAGCTGACTCAGCAGTTTCTCTTTGAGACGACGACCAGTTTGAAAACGGTGAAGCCAAACTGATCTTCAGGAATCCAGTGGATCCTCAGAGCTTCATGAAATGTGTCCTCTGGTTCTGGATATTTTGCTGACAATCACGCACAGCGGTGCAGATCGTTCCTCTGAGGATGACGAGCCTCGACTCTTCATCCACGTCTGAGGACTAACCCCAACCCTCACACTCTTTCTGCTTGGTCCGGTACGAGCCTGACCCGGTACGAGCCCGGCCCGGTACGAGCCCGGCCCGGTACGAGCCTGATCCAGTACGAGCCCGACCCGGTACAAGCTCGGGCTCCTGGTACGAGCCCGACCCGGTACAAGCCCGATCCAGTACGAGCCCGACCCAGTACGAGCCCAGCTCAGTAC